CTTCAGTGTGAGGTCACTCCTCAGTACTCACTGGACAACTCATAGAGGAAAGAAACCGTATGGATGCAGCAAATGTGGAAAGACATTCTGCATCAAGTTTAGTTTCATCCTACATCAAAGAACTCACACAGGTGAGAAACCTTGTGAATACAGTCAGTGTCGGAAGCTTTCACCCAAAAGTCACACCTCACTACTCATCAGAGGTCTCACACTGGAGAGCAGCCTTACAAATGCAGTGAATGGCACAAATCCTTCAGCCAGAAGTCCTAGCTCCTTATTCATCAGAGAATTCACTTGGAGAAACCTTATGAATGCCTGAAATGTGAAAAAACTCTCACAAGTTTATTTTTAATTTAATTTTATTGTTCATTCTATTACAGTTGTCACAATTTTTCCTCCCCCTTGCCCCCCTTATTCACAAGTTTAGTCTCATTATTCATCACAGAATCCATATAGGAGAGAAACTCTACAGATACAGTGAATGTGGGAAGACTTCTGCTATCAAATTCAGCCTCATTTTACACCAGAAAACACACACAGGAGAGAAACCCCATGAATGTAGCAAATGACAGAAACCTTTTGCCCAGAAGTCCCATCTGATTATACATCAAAGGATTCATGTAGGTGAGAAACCTTATGGATGTGGTGAATGTTGGAAAACTTTCACAAATTCACCTCATTTTACACAAGAAAACTCATAGAGGAGAGAGATCATGAATGAAGCAAATATCCAAAAGTTGTTAATGAGAGTGAATAGATTATACACCACAGAGTTTACATAGGAGGGAAACCTTAAGACTGAAGTAGATACAGACACAGTTTCTTTTCAAACTCACACCACGCAACTGATCAGAGAATAGTACTGGGTAGAACACCAGATAGAAAATACCTTGCCCGATAAATGTTAATGGATTGCAGCCAAGGAGAAACAAATAGGAAGCTACATCTTTGCACATATTGATCATGGGGATGTTGGTATGAAATTCAGTGACATTGGTATCAGAGAACTGACATTGAGGGAAAAATTCTATGCAGAATCTGGGGAATCATGCTATTTTATGAGGGACACAATAAGCAGCATTATAGAAAGTATTAAGTATTAAACAAGTGCACTTGCCAGGAAACAAAGCAAAAATTACATCAGAACTAAGTGAGAATATGTTTTGTACCCATTTTATTATAAAAATGATTGTTCACATTTTTGAATTGCATGTATTAACATAACATGGTGACTCCCTAGTACATGTCCTTAAACATACATAAACTTTCCTATAGAGTATCTGCATTGACTTGTATCATTTTAATGCTACATAAGTTGTAATTGAACTACATGACTCATTATTTAATAAGAAATCTCTTGTTATAGATTTGTTTTTTATATTTAGAGAGAGGGGAAGGAAGGGAGAAGGAGAAGGTGAGAAACATCTATGTGAGAGAAACATCAATCATTATCTTTTTTATATACCCGGACAGGAGACAAAACCCACAAGTGAGGCATGTGTCCTGACCAAGAATCGAAATGTCAACATTTCACCTTGTGAGGTGACATTCAACTAACTGAGCCACACTGGTCAGTGCTAATAAGAAATCTTAATAAAATACTGAATATTCCCTCTCCCTGCCCTGCTATTTACTAGTAGTATAAAGTGGGCCTGGCAGATTTTGAGCCTCTCTTGAGTTTCTTTTTTTTTCATTGATTCTGAGTTGAAATGTTTCTCCACATCATCAACACTGTTGAAGTTGAAATGCATCATATACAGTTGGTGGCTTGACATATTTAAATGGAGAACTTGGCACATAAAATAGTGGTACATCATACAACCAAAGGTATCTTAGCTTGGATGAAATACAGAAGTCATCATCTTTGTAAATGATTTGTTTCTTTTAAACCAGCCAGATATTTATGGTTTGAATATAATGACTATTCTCAGATCATATGCCCATTTGAATTCTAAAAAGTTTGAGAGAAAGTCCTCAATGTCAGAAAATGGAAATTAAACGTTAGCTTTAGTCCTGGTATTTATTGTGGCTTTTATGAACAAATAAAGTAGGCCTTGACTTTTTCCATACTGCACACGTCATGCTTCCCTTTGAAAGACCATCAGCCAAACTTTAGAGATAGTTTTATTAATCTCTCTCTAGAATGTAGCTGGGAAGTTTCATAAATTGTTTACTTCAATGGAGATTAAACTGTAAAATACAATGAGCTTGCTTTTTTTTTAAGTGAGCTGAAATTTTTATTCATTGATTGACTTTTAGAGAGAAAGGAAAGGAGAGAGAGAGTAACATCGATTTGTTGTTCCACTTACTTATGGATTCATCAGCTGATTCTTGTATGTGCCTTGACTGGAGATCGAAACCACAACTTTGGCATATTAGGACAACATTCTAACCAACTGAGCTACCCAGCAAGGGCACAATGAGCTTAATTTTACTTTTACAAAAGTAGAATTCCTTTTCAAGCACAATGTTTCACATTAAAATGGGGAAATGGCAACTATGGCAGTTACCCTGTTTAAGGTGAGTGGACTCACAAGAACCTGCAAGTTATATTAAGCTAGAACTCCAATAAGGATAAAAACCACAATATAGCACAAAGAAAAAATGTTACAGATAAATATCAAGCTGTTCTGCAACATATAGGCACAGATTCCAGTGATGTTTTTCAGTCATATTGAACACTATTCATCTCCAAATCACAAGCCACCAAAATATATATGAAGTCTCTTCATTTCATGGGAACCAAGGCATAAGTTTACTGAAAGATCTTTTATACTCCCTAGCCACATAGGCAAAACCTACAGAGGTCTAAATCATCCACATCCATCTTTTCAATAAGCAATGTAGACAAGCTAGTATGCATCCTAAACAATACAGTATAGCATGAGAAAATATGAATCGCTCACATTAATCCCAGGGACACTAACATCCTTTCTATTTCAAACTCAGGTTTCAACAAGTCTTCTACATGGAGAGGGTTTGAGAATCTTGGGGGTGTGATGGGAGATGATGATAACTCAAGTACAAGATGTCACCTTGGTTAGCAAAACAAGTACTGTCTGCATTTTCCAAAGGATTTGCTGAGGATTGACTGGGAGCTGTCCATTGTCCTGAGTGTAAAGGCTGGGAAGTTGACTAAGGCACTTTTGTTTGTTTTGCTCTAGTTTGTAAGACAAAGATTCGTTGTTGTTGTTTTTTTGATGTTGTAAACAATCTTTATTAGTATCATCCATTAATTGCACGGACAGGTAGTAAGCTCCTGAATGTTCAGGCACTACGGATCAGCAGTGAACAAGATGAAAAAATCTCTTAGCTCTTCAGAAACTTATGTTCTAGTTTATTCTAATTGTTTATTGACGTTTACTACCTCATCCTCAGGTCTCTTTGTGCTCCTACTTTTCCTAAGAGGGCTTCTGGCTCCTTATCATTTTACAATTAAGTGAATTAAAGTTAGTTTGGAAGAAAAAGATCCTTAACTGTGAACAGCAAAATCATTTAGTGAGTTGGGAGTCCTCATACAGCTTGTCCCCCACCAGCTCCCACCCCAAATCACTTTCCAACAAGAAAGTTACTGTACCTACAGTCAGGTAGGTATTTCCTAACTATTCCTGGATATGTTCAAAATACTAAAAGGGGTCTCGGTAGAGGAAGAATCTTTTCATTATAAAGGCGGAAGATATCTGACTCATCTTCCCTCATGTTTGCTCACTCTCAGTCTTTAACATTCACCCTCAAGCCCTATTTCCAGGAACATAACTGCTACTAGGTAACAACCAAGAGCTGGTAAGGCCTACTTGCCTCCAGGTTAAATTTCAATTTTAAACCTAAACTTTAACCTTTCATATGGTCAAAATATCTACTTGATCTTGTGAGAGTAAAGATGAGGTAAACTACCTTTTTCTTGGCAAGCTCATTGGCCTTATGTCATGTATGATTCATTCCTGTTTCACTATGATATGCAACTGGTAGCTAATCAGATTGGCCACAATATTGAACAAAACCGCTTTCCTTTCTCAGGTTTCAATTTTTTAAAATTTATTTTACAATTACAGTTGGTATACAATAATATATTAGTTCCAGGTATACGACAGTGATTATATTTATATACTTTGCAAAATGATCACCTGCTAAGTCTACTACTGATCTGACACCATAGGCATGTATTGCAATATTTTTGAAGATATTACCCTATGCTGTACTTTACATCCCAGTGACTGTTTTTGTAATTGACAATCTGTACTTCCTAATCCCTTCCACAGAAATATGGAACACTCCAAGGAATGTGTGTCATCTTTGCGCTGGGGCCATGCTAATCTCTGCATGGGTCCAATTTTAGTATGTGCACGGGAGGAAAGGTGCACTCTTGGAGCTTTTGCTTCACCGTCCCCCACCCCCCCACCCCAAGGGAGAGCCAAACTTCTCCATTGGCACTACCCCTTTGGCCGGCCCCTGAACAACCGTGTTCCGTTTTCCTCCACCCTAAGCATATCAAGAACTTTATATTCCTGCCGTTTTACTCGCTCTCTGATCAACGCTGTAGGTTCAGCGGTTCTCTAAATCCTAGAATGGCCTCAAATACCACTTTCTCCACAAAGCGCCCTTCATCCTCTCAGGACAACAGTCGGTTCCGCTCCAGTTGTTCGGGTTCTGCTCCGGTCCCCTTCCGTGGAACTTACTCTAAGATGAGTCCCCTTCCGTGGAACTTACTCTAAGATGAGCACGTCCACTTAGCTTTCTTTCAGCCTGAGGCTCAAAGGCTTTAACGTCGAGACCATCTCCGCGCATCAAGAGGGGAGACCCGGGCTGGCTTGAGCTGCTGAGCAGCTAAGCAGTTGGTGGAGCGCCCCCGGCCAAGGTTGCACAGTTGGGGCTCAGAGGCTCAAGTGGCTTGGAAATGGGGTGATGCAGGTCATTTTTAGTAGTTTCTCGCTACTTTAAGCCTTCCTGGACAAATAGGAGAAAAGGATATATATTACGCCTACGCTAAAGCGATAGGTGGGTCAACAGCTGCTCCGGCTAAAAATAGCCTCCAACTGGGCGGGTCAAATTTTACTTCACAGAGAGTTCACAGAGAGAGAGGACCCAGAGCCAGACGCTGAGACTCCGGAACGGGGCGCGCTGACCCTCGTCGGCCGCCGTCCACTCCGCTTCTGAGGGTCCCGGGGGCCACGGAGGTGTCGTCGTGGACAGTTAGGCAAAGTGTTTGGAGAAAAGGTTTCGTGACTTGTCTCCAGCGGCAAGTGGGAGGTCAGTGTCGGGTTTCCGGACTCGTTGGGGTTTTGTTGTTGTTGTTCCAGAGCGGGCAGCAATTGGTGTTGGGGAAGCTGGTGGGAGCCCTGGGGGGGCGGGGCGGGGGTTGCCTGTCCGATCAATTGGGAGGCCAGTGCGGTGCAGGGGTGTTCTCGGGGGCTCCGTGTTGGGACCGTCACTTGGCCTGTCTTTGTAGGAGAGTTGCGTTTGGGGTGTGCATGCTGGGGACCGGCGTTGGGGGAATTCCGTGTTTATTGCTAATCGCACGCTTGACATTAGACACCAGGTTTCTGGTCCTCCTGCGTCCCTGTCTACTGTATAGTCCTTAGAAAATTTGTTTTCGCGTTCTATTCCGACCCAAATAGTGGCACCCCATCCTCTTAAACACCCTTCCAGAAAATAACTTAAAGTTTAGTATATTTTATTTTTAGTGTTGGGATCAGGTGTATGGGTACTGATAACACTCAATACATGTTTAATCTAACATCATATTATAAGCATTTCCACATTACAAACTCCCTAGAAGTTTTCTTCTTGAAACTGCTGCAGTTTTGTTGCATCAGGTGGGTGCCTTAATTTTGGTAGAGGTGACAGAGATTTAGATACAACACTTTTAGGCATGTGTGATGGATTTCCTTTAACCCAAGTCAATTGTTTCTTTGACCAGCTCTGATGTTTTTCCGTGTGTGTCTTGGACATATTTATAGTAAATGGTTTTGACATTTGTTGTAATTGTAAATGGTGTCTTTTCCCCCCATATGACCCTGTCTCCTCTTTTTGTTGCTTCTAACTTTACATAATTCACAAAAGGAAAAAATGAAATTACATAATTATATAATTTTGTGAATCACATAAGTCACAAAAGCAAAACATAAAAAGATACACTTACTTTGTCACCTCATTCTGCTGTTATTACTAATAGCTTCTAATTTGATTCCTTGATGTTTCCTGGTTTGAGTAGTTTTGTGGTCTCTGAATATCATTCTGGCCAGATGGCAGATGGATGCTATGGTCTGGGGTGTAAGAAGAACCTGAGTCTGCTTGTGACTTGGGTAGGGTAATCTCTGAGTTAGCCTTCTTCATTTTGGGGGGGAAAAGATGTCACAAATAATAATAATAATTCCTGTTTCATAGAGTTGATATGAAGATTAAATGAGCTAATGTACAAAATACAGTGTCTGGCACAAAGTACCATTTGGAGACAACAATAAAAAATGGTAATTGCAACCTACCAAGTTTTTATTCCTCTTTCTCAAAAGGTTTCCACTGTGTGCACCTACCCCCTGGCCAATGCTTTATTGAAGCATAACTGACATAAACATTCTGTAAGTTTCAGGTGTAGAGTTGATTTGGTACACTTATATATTACCAAATTATTACCACCATAGTGTTAGCTAACACCTGCATCATGTCACATAATTATCCATTTCTTTTTTGTAGTGAGAACATTTAAGATCTACTCTTTTAGTGACTTTTAGGTATATAATACAGCTATACTAACTGTAATCACCATGCTGTACATTAGATTTCCCTCAAAGGCTTTTTAACTTTAAAATTATTTTCATTTTAAATTTCTTTCTTTAAAATTTTCTTTGATTTCGGTGGCTAGTTTTCATATACTTGTATATATATGTATACACATATATATTTTAATCCTTACCCGAGGATATGTTTTTTACTGAATTTAGAGAGAGAAAGAGAGAGAGAGAGAGAGGTGAGAGACAAACATTGATCGGTTGCCTCCTGTATGGCTGTCACCTGGGGTTGAACCTGTAGCTGAGGTATGTGCCCTGATTAAGAATTGAACCTGCAACCTTCTGGTATATGGGATGACGCTCCAACCAACTGAGCCACCTGGACATACCTAGATTCCCAATATATTTATATATTTGTCCATAATGATTTTTTCTTTTAATGTGGGCCTGGATTCTGTTTGCAATAGTTTATGTTATATTTTTACATGTAGAAATGAAAATATGTCTTGGGTTTGCTTCAAAATAATCCAATGGTTAAGGAGAAGTGAGTTGTGGTGTAGGTAAAATAAAGTTAGGTTTACATTAATGGATATATAGAGTTTGATTATACCGTTCTTTTTTTTGTACATGGGGTTTAATTATGCTGTTCTTTTTTCCTTAAATATTTTCATAATAAAACATTAAAAATTTGTGCTTCTGCATATGTAAGTGAAACTGCTCTGTATTCTTTAAAAGTTTTTTTCAAATATAACACTAAAAATAAAAAAATACAATGGCACCCCAGAAGTCCCCACTTCATCATATTCCCCCCCAGAAGTAATTATTATCCCAAAAATATCATATTAAATTTGCTTGATTGCTAGCTTTATATAAATGGAATCATACAGTAATGCTCTTTGGTGTTTGCTTCTTTTGCTCAATACTTTGTGGTGAAATTCACCTAAATTGTCACATATGGCAGCAGTTCATTCTTTTCATTGTTTGTAGTATTCCATGCTATGCTGTACATTTTGCTATTTATAGATGTTTAGGTAGTTATTGGCCTGTGTCTATTATGAATGATGCTAGACAAACATTTTTGTACATACATTTAGGTGTGTGGAAGTTCCATTGGGCATATACTTAGTAGAATTTCTGAAGTGTGGGCATGCTACATACAAGGAGAAGTGTCAAATGTCCAGTCATAATGGGAGATTCTTAACATACCGCTCTCAGTAACAGAACAAGGAGACAAAAGGCTTGAAGGCTATAGATTAACAAGGGTCAGCAAGCTTTTTTCTGTAAAAGGGCAGAAGTAAATATTTTAGGCTCTGCTGGTTCAGATGGTTTGTCTGCACCTATTCAACTCTGCCATTGTAATTGGAAAGTAGCCACAGAATACATCAACAAATGTGTGTGGCTGTGTTTCAATAAAACATTATTTCCAAAAACAAGGCACCAGCCTGCTATAGTGCCAAGCCCTAAAAGATTATTATAATATAATTAACAAACTCAACCAGTATAAAACACTCCACCCCAAAACTGTTTTCAAATGCATATAGAACACTTACAATGGGGGGCCCTAAAGCAAGTCTGAACAAATTTCAAAAGACTGAAATCACACAGACCGTCTTCTCTAACTACAGTGAAATTAGGCAATAAAGCAATATCAAAATAATAAATAGAAGATTCCCATTTGTTTGGCAAGTATGTCGTGCATGACTAAATAATTATGAATCAAAAAATATTACAATGGAAGTGTGTTGAACTGCATTTTAATAATAATGCTACATGTCAAATCTTGTTGAATTCAACTAAAGCAGTCAGTGGAGGGAATGTATAGCTGTAAATGTGTGTTACAAATGAAGGAAGGGTGAAATCAATGAATAAGCATTTATGTTTGTAGTTCTCTTTTCTTCTAATCTGTTGATTAGTATTTTGAAATGCTGGCTTCATACAACTGGTACAGTAACTCTTTTTCTGTTGATATAATACTGGAATCGTGTACTGTAAAGATTAAATAGAACTCATCAGGCCCTGCTAACTTCTTATTTTTAACTTTTTTTCCTATGGAAACTCAGAGGATAGAGAGAATAGTATAATAATATGTGCCTGTCACTTAGCTTTCAACAATTATCAACTCAGGACCAATCATGTTCATCTGTGTCTCCCCCGCTTTAGCTTTTCTTCTGCAGAATTTCACTGCAAATTCAAGGTTTCATGTCCTTAAACTTATAAATATTCCAGTATGTATCTCTAAATTGCAAGGTCATTTAAAAATTTATAATTAGCAGGTCACTTTCAAATGTATATCAAAATTAATAACTATTCTTTTATTTCATCCATTACCCAGTCCATACTAATTTTTTTCTGATCACCTCAAAGTAATCTTTTAACATTGAATCATGATCCAAATAATTTGTGTGCATTGCATTTATTTGTTATGTCTCTTAGGCCTCATTCTATAATAGTTTCTCTTCTATTTTTTTCTTTTGTCTTTATGCCTCTTAAGATGTTGCAGTAAGCAGTATACAACACCATTAATGAAGGACTCTTGCTTAGTTAGTTAAATATGGAATCATTGCCCCAGTGTAATGACCAAAATATTAGGAATATGTGGGCACTGCTAGGCTTCCAGAGCTACCACTTCTATACATTACCTTTCCTAAAATTGATCTATGTGAGAACTTGGCAGTGGACAAGACCGTGAATTGGATTTTGTTTCCCATCTCTTCTTTCACATTTGCTCTATTCTACCTTTACCAAAAAAAACAGGGGGAGGAGGGCATCCCTCTTGTGCATTTCATATCTCCCCTAGGAGCATGGGCCCCATGATGTAAAAATGGCCAGGGTGTTGAAGATGCTGATGCATTATCAGAACCCTATGTTAGAATGAGTCCACGTGGTGAGAGGGCTGTGGTCCCAGGTGCGTGTCTTCTCAGAACTGAATTTGCTTTTGAATCCACAGGTTCTGGTCTATAGGAACAAGACATTTTCAGTGCTAGAAGGAAGAGGTGCCAGGTTTGGGAGATCATCAGTTCCTGACCTGAGATATCTGACTACAGCTTCCTGGCAGGCCCAGAGACACAGGAGAAAGCACATCCCAGAGCTTCCAGTCTTTGCTTCAGAACTTGAGAAAATGACCAAGGCCCAGGTGAGGTTTGTTTTATCTACTTTTTATCCTTTGTTTCCCAGCGAATGTATGGAAGCTTCTAATGTCTGATAACATGGTACAGTGTATATTAATAAAAATCAGATTTGTCCAAAAATAAGTTTAGGTTATAATCTTAACATCAGAACAAATTAGGCAGTGTGAGATATGTAGGTCATAGGGTCCATATAAAGTTCTTAAGGTTGGAACATAGGTAAGTGACTGTGTAAGACCCTGTGAGTTGTCTTAGCTTTGAACTTGTGTCTACTTTTCTTGGCAGCTGTAGTAACAAAAAGACATGAAAAGTTACATGATTTGCAGCATCTGTGAGGAGAAGGCAAACTAGTTCCTCAGGGGAAGTAAACATTTCATTGCTCTTAGATCTTCAGAGATTTCTTTCTCTAGGTCTTTGGAGAGGTTTTGTAGTAGACAGTGTCCTCAGTATCAGTGGTGTAATAAAAGCCATAAGGTGACTTCTTTGGCTTTTTCTTATTGTCTTCCTTGGAGTAAGCTAAGGGGTTGATGTCAAAGCAGAACTTGATTGGACAAAATTCTTTAAAAGCAATGTGCCTTGACAATAGAGCCTTCTGGAAATCTGTACCCAAGAATAAAGCTTGGATTGTGTAATAGAATGAATGAGCTGCTTTGAGTGGTTTCATGAAGTTTCTCAACCAGAGTTTTGTGACTGATTTGGCTGCTCCCTTTATACCTTCTTTATCTCAGGTTCAAAACTGAAGTCAGAGGCAATTGTTTCAGTCTTTGTATTTTCAATGTGGTTTTTTTTTTTTTAGAGATTGGGGAAGGGAGGGAGAGAAACATCGATGTGCAAGAGAAACATCAATGGGTTGCCTTTCCAACACCCCTAACTGGGGATTGGGCCCACAAGCCAGGCATGTGCCCTGACTGGAAATTGAATCAGCAACCTTTTGGTTCACAGGCCAGTGCTCAGTCTACTGAACCACACCAGCCAGGGCACATGTGGAAATCTTTTTTTTAATATATTTTTTAAAGATTTTATTTATTTATTTTTAGAGAGGGAAGGGAGGGAGATAGAGAGAGAGAGAAACATCAATGTGCGGTTGCTGGGGGTTATGGCCTGCAACTCAGGCATGTACCCTGGCTAGGAATCGAACCTGGGACACTTTGGTTCGCAGCCTGCGCTCAGTCCACTGAGCTACACCAGCCAGGGCTACATGTTGAAATCTTAACCCCCAAGGATGATGGTATTAGGAAGTGGGACCTTGGGAAGAGACGTAGGTCTTGAGAGTGAAGCCTTCATGAGTGGGATCTGTGTTCTTATAAAAGAGACCCTGCAGACTGTCCTCACCCTTCAACCATGTGAAGACACAGTGGGAAGAGGCCCACTGTGAACCAGGAAGTGGGGTCTCGCCAGAATACAACCATGCTGGCTCCTTGATCTTGGACTTTCCAGATTCTACAACCATGAGAAATAAATTTCTGCTTTTATCAGCTACCCAGTCTGGGGTATTTTGTTACAGCAGCCTGAGTGGACTAGGACACATGGCCCTATGGTATGTGAAATAATCACCGTGTGCACAACATCATGGGGAAAGTGACCAGGACGTGTTCCTGTCCCTCTTTTCCACATCATCTCTTCCACCTGATTGCCTGAAATTTGTCTTTACAGGCATTGTTATCATTTGAAGACGTGGCTGTGGGCTTCACCTGGGAGGAGTGGCGGCTGTTGGATCCAGCTCAGAAAGATCTGTACCGGGATGTGATGTTGGAGAACTACAGCAACCTGCTGTCAGTGGGTGAGGCCAGCATCACATCAGTTGCCTTTTCCTTCTCACTCAGTGAAATCTGTAGGGTTTCTGAGATTTTTAAAAAGGTTTTATTTATTTATTTTTAGAGAAAAGGAGGGAGAAAACTTCAATGTGTGGTTGCCTCTCACGCGCCCTCAACTTGGGGACTTGGCTCACAACCCAGGCACTTGCTCTGACTGGGAATCAAACCAGCCACCCTTTGGTTCACTAGCCGGTGCTCAGTCCACTGAGTCACACCAACTAGGGTGGAGATATTTTATGGTTTGGACAAAAGCACTGTGGGAGATAGAGTTTTATTCTCCTGTTTGGTCCTGGAGTCTGTGTTCTGCCTCTCCAAGTCAAAGGCCTTTACTTTATCAAAGTGCAAATGATGCGGTCCTTGAAATACAGCTTTCTTCAGCTGTCATAGAGTCCTCAAGCTTAAATACTTGGTGCCAAGTGTTCACTGATTTCCCTTTCACAGGATATCAATCTTCTAACTCAGATTCACTCTTCTGGCTGGACCAAGGAGGACCACCGTGGATAGCAGAGGAAGCAGCCCATAGTCCAGCCTGTCCAGGTGAGTGAGTGAAAACCAAGGAAGTGGGGAAATATGGCGCTAAATTTCCTGTCAGTCAGTAAACAGTTGACACTTTGGAAATGTTGTTTAAAGAACTTTTCTTACCCCAGTTGGTGACCTTTCCACATCTCTGTTCTTTATAAGGGATAATTTGTCTTCTTTTTCCAATTTTCTGATTGTAGTCTCTCTCATCTAGGGCCTTGGTTTCTTACCTGGTTGTATTCTTCCCAACATGCTCACATCTTCCCTGTATTTTTTCTGCAGCATGCTCACTTCCCATTCTCCCCAATACTTGCTATGAAATTCCTCTTACTACCCATACACCTTGCTTTGCACTTAGCACTACTTTCTACCTGCAGGGAGGGCCAGTATCCATCCCTGACAAACCACCTCACCTTAGTCATCTGAAAATCACACACACCTCATCTTTCAGGGCATTACCTTCTGCTTCCATAGCTTCCAGTTGTTGTCTTTTAGAAATCTTCTGCTTGGTTCTCATATTAAAAGTTTAATTTGTTCTCAAGGCCTAAGCTCTCTGCTCTGTGCTGGAGAGTCTCAGATTGACTTCTGCTGCTACTATCTAATCTGTGCTCTAATCGTTTGTGCTGTTGGCCACACCACTAAGGCAGCTGCCCTGTGAGGTCCCACTTCCTGTATGTGAAACCAGAATCTTTCTTTCTCCCAGATAACGTCTGCATCATCATTGAGGTTATTTCTGTATAATGAAGATTGAAGCTCTCAGTACTCCCACAGATGTTCCTGAGTTGTCCATCTCTGTAGACACTAATCTCTCTCTAATTCTACATTTTGCCTGCACCTCAGATAATTATCCAGGGAGCTCCTTTTTCCTTTAGCTTCAGTGTCAGAACCTGAGGTCTTTTCATCCCGGTGAGTCCTTTTACTTTTTAGGCATTTTATTTAGGTTCTGCTGTACTGCTCTACTCCCTTGCGCCTGGTCACTTTTGCATTGCCTTGAGTCATCCCTATTTGCTCTATTATTTCTGAAGGTCTCTGCTGTCCCTATTAACTTGTGTTGTTTCAAAAAGGCCTTTGGAAACTTCCAGTCTCAATTCCCACCTCAAAGTGGGCCTCTGTCATTTAGACTTGCATTGTTCATTGCTACATACACCTGCTGATTTCAGTTTTCTCTTAGTTCCTGCTGATGTTCTGGCTGTAGTCCTCTAGGGGTGGGTAGGGCATTAAAGGAGTGGAACTCGATGAGAAAACATGAGTGAATGTTGGTTGAAAATACAAGAGATCCACATATACAGGGATTGGCAAAAATAGGTTCATAGTTGTAATACAAATAAATAATACAATAATTAATAAATAATAATACAAAAGTAGACTCTGTGTTTCAATTACTCACAGCTGTAAACCTATTCTTGCTGACCCCTTTGCTTAGAGCTTGAGAAATTAAGAGCCCAGCCAAGTAGAATGGGAAGTATGTGGGGACCTGGTTGGTAGCTCAGTTGTTCAGAGCATCATCCTGATACACCAAGGTTGTGGGTTTGATCCCTGGTCAGGGGACATATAAGAATAAACCAGTGAAGAGATAAATAAGTGGAACAGCAAATCAATGTCTCTGTCTCTCTCTCTCTCTCAAATCAATGAAAAAAAAAGTATGCAGGCTCTGGTAGAAGGAGGGTCAGAAGATGATGTCACAGAAACAAGTGACAGACTTATTCCAAGGAGGAGGAAGTGTTTTATTGATTTTAAAATAACTTGAGGAACTGGCATCTCCACACTTGATTATGCTGCATTTTTATATCTTGCCTTCTTTCACTTGGAGCTCTTTTTCTCTCCATAACATTTCCAAGTGCACTTGGAATTTCCTTTTTCCTGATTTCCTGTCTACTTTGTATCTGCACCGCACTAACTCACCCATGATGATGTTTTATGGTATTATTTTACCGGTGGGTATGAGGCTTGGATAGAAGGGTCTGCACTTAGTATAGACAACATTACTTGCACTCATTCATCACATCATTTTTGAAAGCAGTTTTTTTTCTTTTCACTTTTGGTTTAATTTTGTTTTTTAATCAGGGATATGTGTAAACTATGTGGGACATTTTCAAACTATGGGATTTGTCTCTGGAGATCTGGTGTCTGATTTGTTAGATATGGAGAGTGATCTGAGCATATGAAGTTCGAAAGGCTTGCCAGGAAATTCTGCCATGATTCCTGTAGTTGAAGAAGCACCACATTCCCCTGGCCAGGTAGCTCAGTTGGTTAGAGCATCATCCTGATACACTAAGGTTGTAGGTTTGATCCTGGATCAGGGCACATATAAGAAACAACCAATGAATGCAAATTGATGTTTCTCTCTCTCTCAATAAATAAATAAAAATTAAAATAACAACAACAAAAACCCCAGAAGCACCATGCTCATATGATCCAGGAGAGATTCAGATGTAATAAGGGACAGAAATACCTTCCTAATTTTTAAAGTCCCACTCAGAATGGGCTGACATAGGTGCATAAAATTTTAAATTTTTTAGCATTTGATTATGAGGCACAGTTGGAGAGGGACTCCTTTACAAAATCAGAGAAAATAGAGCTCTGATAAAATGTTATAAAAAGAATAAAGTGCTTTTTTAGGGAAGCATGATAAAATAATTTCTGCAAGGAGGGTTTTGGAAGTAAATGACAATGGAAGGCCTTGTGTGTCAGTAATATAAAAAGATGACTCTGGAAATGGAAATAAGGAAAGTGATGTGTGAAATTCTTATGTATTGGCAACTATGTTTATAGTAGGAGTCTGTATGAAAGAAAATGGCTTATTGGACTTCCGGCAAGATGGAGGAATAGGTGGACGCACCGTACCTCCTCGCACAACCAAGATTAGAACAACAATAATTTACAACAATAATTTACAGATAGAATAACACCCAGAACCGATAGGGGATTTATCTGAATGGAAGTTGGACAGCCAAGAAGTTGAAGTAGACCCGTTCATCCGGACTGGTAGGAGAAGACGCGCCGGGCAGGCACGGGGCGGGCGCAGGTTATCTGCGCAAGGAGGTCGGGGAAAGTTTGGCGCGAAATCGGTGCGACAGCCATCTGGGCGCAAGAACACAGCGGTGATCCCTGAGTACGCAAGCTGCGGTGGGCGGACCCAGTGGGGCAGCGATTGTGGACCAGGGCAGAACTCGCGGCCCAGGATCCCAAAGAAGGGTCTGGGCCCAGGAAAACGGAACTGCCGCCATTGTTTCCTCCCGTCCCGCCCCTGCCCCCACATATAACGTCACAATCTAGCGACTGGGGTGCCCAGCCCCGGTGAACACCTAGGCTCCACCCCCCACCATAGCAGGAGCCACCAGACCAGGAAAAAAAAAAAAAAAAAGGACAGACAGGGACAGACATGTTTCCTGGGATCAGTCTCCCAGGACTCATCCTTTTGAGTGACCAAGAAATAGCCAATCTATCAGATGCACAGTTCAAAAACTGGTGATCAGAAAGCTCACGGAATTGGTTGATTTTGGGTGCAATTTAGATGAAAGGATGCAGGTTACCATAAAAGAGATGCAGGAAGATACGCGGAGGAGAGCCAATAGTGAAAGGAAGGAATCTGAGTCTCAAAACAATACAGTGGACCAGAAGGAAGATAGAATCAACCAAGCAGGAAAGCATGATAAAATAAGAATTCAAAAAATCGAGGAAAAGCTTAAGAGCATCCAGGACACCTTCAAACGTTCCAACATCCGAATTATAGGGGTACCAGAATCAGAAGGGGAAAAGCAACAAATTGAGCACGTATTTGAACAAATAATAAAAGAGAACTTCCTCAATCTGGCAAAGGGAACAGTCTTCCAAGAAATCCAAGAAGCTCAGAGAGCCCCCAAAGAAGTTGGACCCAAGAAGAAACACACCAAGGCACATCATAATTACATTAGCCAAGGTAAAAATGAAGGAGAGAATCCTAGAAGCAGCAAGAGATAAGGGGACAGTCACCTACAAAGGAGTTCCCATCAGACTGTCAGCTGATTTCTCCAAAGAGACCTTACAGGCAAGAAGGGGCTGGAAAGAAATATTCCAAGTCATGAAAGACAAGGACCTACATCCCAGATTGCTCTATCCAGCAAAGCTCTCATTTAGAATGGAAGGGAAGATAAAGTGCTTTTCAGATAAGGTCAAGTTAAAGGAGTTCATCATCACCAAGCCCTTATTTTATGAAATGCTAAAGGGACTTATCTAAGAAAAGAAGATAAAGAAAAGACATGTATAGTAAAAGGACAGCAAACTCACAATTATGAACAACCACACCTAAAGCAAAACCAAAAGAAACTAAGTAAACAATTAGAACAGGAACAGAACCACAGAAATGGAGGGCACATGGAGGGCTAGCAGCAGGGGGGGTAGGGAGGAGGAGAGGGGGGAAAAGGTATAGAGAATAAGTAGCATAGAATGTAGGTTGAAAATAGATAGGGGGAGGGCAAGAATAGTACGGGAAATGTAGAAGCTAAAGAACTCATAAGAATGACCCATGGACATGAACTAAAGGGGGGAAACGTGGGTGGGAGAGGGGGTACAGGGTGGAGGGGAGAGAAGGGGGGAAATGGGACAACTGTAATAGCATAATCAATAAAATATATTAAAAATGGCTTATTAGTTTGGATTTTATGTTAGTTAATGGCTTACAAACCATAAATTAGGTTTTATCATTTTTTTTGCTAGTTTTTTGAACAGTCTTGCTTGATAGCTGGATTGTAGCAATAGAAAGACATAGCTTGGAATTTTAGGATAAAGGGAAGATAAGGCAGTAGAATATTTTTTTTCCTGGAGGGAGAATGGTTCTTCAGAATCTCTTAATTGAGGTGATCTAAGAACTGAGATTAAAGGAGAATGTAGTATTAGTTGAACATAGAAAATTTGGAGATGACTATGTGAAGGAGATTATAATGATGACTTTAGGATGTGAGGGTCTGTACTATGCTGTCTAGTGTACTGGCCACTGGCCACCTGTGGCTGTTTAAATTTAATTCATGTTAGGTAAAATTACTGATTTAGTGCTGCCATCACTCTAACAATATTCAGGTACTCAATAACCATACATGGCCAGCAGGTACCACATTGGAAAACACAGATATAGAACATTTCCGTCATTGCAGGAGGTTTTACTGGACAACACTGTGTAAGTTACATTATGGTTAAACTCATTGGAGAAGGTGATATTTCCACCAGTCAGTACAACTGTAACTCTTCTCTGGGACACAGGCAGATGGCCCAAACACCTGTTTTCAATTTCAAATGGACATATATGTGTCTGGATTTATTGGACCTTGTAAGGTTGTATCATAACAAGTTCAGGATTGACTGTATACAGTATTACTCTAAATAGGTGATTGGTGTTTTTAGGAAAGTTTAATTTTGGTGTGCAGTTGGGTTGAGAGGGGAAAGATTTAGTAACAAGGTGATTATTGAATATTTTACCATAGTAAACTTGGAATGAGATGGTGTGGATCCTGCATTCTTTTTTTTTAAGAGTTTATTTATTTATTTATTTTTAGAGAGAAGGGGAGAGAGGGGGAGAGAGAGGGACAGAAACATTGATGTGAGAGAGAAACATCGATTGGTTGCTTCTTACAACATGCCCCAACTGGAAACTTGGCTCACAACTCATGCATGTGCACTGACCAAGTATTGAACTGTATTCAACCGGTGATCTTTTGCTTTGCAGGATGACACCTGATCCACTGGGCCACACCAGTCAGGGCAGATCCTGCATTCTGATGTCCAATCCATATTGCTTATTTGTCCAATCAGCACAGATAGGGTTTGATTGTCTCTGAGTGAGCTTGTCATATTCTCAGTGCATATCCTTCTCCCAGAATTCTAAAGCTTGGAGTGCGTGAAGCTCTTATCTTGGACCTTCCTCTTTCTCTATCCATTCTTCCAGACTGTCCCATCTGATCCTCTGCAGACCAAATATTTAAATAATGTTTATATGCTCATGACTTAAAATTGTTATCTTAAGTCTAACTCTTTCTCCACACTCATAGATCTAACCAGGTACTTCATAGTCTGTCTTGAGTGTGTATTAGTAATCTCAGGTCTGGTGTGTATCTCAAATGGAATGCTTGGTTTTTCTCCAAATGTCAAACCTATCTCTGTAATCTTCCTCATTTTATTAAGTGGCACCAACACCTACATAGATGCATAGGCCACATATTGAGGAACTGTCCTTGATTCTTCCCTTTTCTACCTTCAACATTTTTTTCTGACAGTGAGTCTTATCTTTTCCTCATCTGCACTGTGTCCTTTGTGGGTTTTTTTGTACATGTTTCCTTCTCCATGATAGTCACTCATACAGAAGATACTGTTAACGTCTTGTCCGAACTCCATTATTGTCTCCTCTGCATTCTCTCAACAATTTCATCTCCAACTTATTCTCATACAACAGTCATGTGACCTTTTGGAAATATCAATTCAGAACATTACATTCCTGCAAAAAAAATGTTTGGTGACTTGCTGCCATAAGTCTTCCTACATGATCTATATGTTCTTGATTGTACCTGCCTTTCCAGACTTGTCCATTGCTACCTCACTTAAGCTTGGGATAGACCAGGTACATCAGCCTCTCTTATGTTTCTTGATCCTGCCTAAGTTTTTCTACTTCAGGGTTTTTTGCAATGGCTACTCCCTCTTCTAGGAATGTTCTTCATGTAGTTATTTGCATAATATTGCTCATTCTTACCCTGTGATGTCAGTTTAACTTTTCTTGTAGATGACTACTTGATGTAAAACTGACCTACCACTGCTCTACCAGCTCTTTCCTATCATTTTTCACAGTCTTTAACTTTTTTTTTTTGCTTACCTGTTGATTCTCTTTCTCTTTTGTTACTAGAATGACTGCTCCATGAAGGGAGAATACATTAGTCTCTTTAAAAGTCACACTAAAGTGACTAATGTATTCTAATATAATATTTGAATGTATTCCCAAACACCAGCCCATTTGATGTTTGTTAGATGAATGGATCCAGTCTCTTAATTCTTTTTTGTTCTGTTTCAGTCAGAGTACGGTTTTCTTTCTTCTCTCCCCACTTTTCAAGATCCTATTTGGAAACAAGCCCAAGCAATACTTACTCAGTATAAACTATCTATGTTGTTTCTACAGTAGTTATTTTTCCTTTTGCTGTTTTATAATACTATCTTTCATAGAGCATAGGATACATTTCCATAAGGCACATTTCTCTTAGACTGAGATCTTACAAGAGCTAGACCAAACCATGGCATTTTTGTATCAAATTTTCCCCCCACAATTATCATGGATGCTTTTATTATTCTTTTTCCTAGGAGAAATATGGGAGAGTGATCATACACAGCGGCACCCAGAAAACCAAAGCAAGATTAAAACTTTGGAAAGATGTCAACAAAGTTATGCACTTGGAAATAATTTCAATTTATACAAAAGTCTTGTTTCTTTAATGGCAAGACACATTAAGTTTGGCTCACATTATAAAAATTTGAAGTCATGTTTAGGTTTTGTTAACCAGAAGAGAACATATGCAAGAAAGGATTCTGATGAGTTTATTGGCTATGGGAAACCATCTCTCTACATCCCGCATGATAAAACTTGTACTGAAATTAAATACCATGGATGTGTTAAACCCAGTAGCACTAAATCACAGCTTAGCAACCATCAAAAAACTTACCCAGGAGAGACACCACATGAATGCAGTGAGTGTGGGAAAGTCTTCACCAGGAAGGCACAGCTCATTAGACATCAGAAAACAGAAAGAGGAGAGAAACCTCATGGATGCAGTGAATGTGGGAAAACATTCATGAGGAAGATTCAGCTCACTGAACATCAGAGAACTCACACAGGAGAGAGACCTCATGAATGTATGGAGTGTGGAAAAGCCTTTGCCAGAAAGTCACAGCTTATGGTACATCAGAGAACTCATACAGGAGAAAAACCCTATGTGTGCAGTGAATGTGGGAAAGCCTTTAGCCGGAAGTGCCTGCTCAGTAGACATCAGCGATCTCATACTGGAGAGAAACTCTATGGATGTAGTGTGTGTAGGAAAGCCTTTTCCCAGAAGGCATACCTCATCGCACACCAGAGACTTCACACAGGAGAGAAACCTTATAAATGCAGTGAATGTGAAAGAACTTTTTTTTTTAAGTCAGACCTGACCAAGCACCAGAGAATTCACACAGGAGAGAAACCTTATGAGTGCAGTCAGTGTGAAAAAGCCTTCAGAAGCAAGTCAAAGCTCATTCAGCACCAGCGAACTCACAGTGGAGAGAGACCATATGCATGCACTGAATGTGGCAAAGCCTTTGCCCACATGTCAGTCCTCATTAAACATAAGAAGACTCATATAAGAGAGAAAGCTGCAAATTCACTGATGGTGGAGAAAGCTTCCTCAGGGAGTCATAGCTCTTTATACTTGAGTGAACTCTTACAAGAGCAGAACTCGTTGAACACAGTGCCTGTGGAAATGTCTTCAGCAACTCAGCCCTTATTAAGCATTGGTGAACTTATAGGGAATAGAAATGTGATTGTGAAACAGCCTTTTCCAAGAAGTCAAGCTTTAGTAGACAATCAGGAATTTGCACATGGAATAAGCCTTGCAAATGCAGTGAGTGTGACCACACCTTCAGTAATAAATTATGTCTTTTATGTTACAGACATTGTGTAGGAAAAAGTCCTCTGGTACCAGAAATGTGGAAAAGCCTCTAGCAAGAATCCTGCACATGTTCTGTGTCAGAGCTCACTTAGGACAGGAATGATACAGATGCAGTGGTTGTGGAGGACACATCTGTGAGAAGGTAGATTTACCCAGTGTCAGTGAAATCATTTTGGGCAGAAATGCAGTGATTGTGGGGAAGCCTTTGCCTGGAGGTGATAATAACAATTGATCTCAGTGAATTCTCACAGGTCCAAAACCTTAGGAAAGAATGTGATGGTTTTCAGTGATAAATTGTACCTCATCATGTGTCAGAGAATCATAGAAAAAGAATTCCAGAGATGTTGGATGTGGAAAACATTTTTAGTAAGATGCGGAAGAACACAGGGGAAAAAATCCTGAAAGCAATGAAAGGTGGAAATTCTAACACCAAAGTAACACATGTATCACAATTTTATACATTAGGACTCTGGGAAACACTTCTCTATTAAATGAAATCTCGGACACAGGAATTGCATTATGTAGTGAAAAATCTATGAATATAATAAAAGTAGAAGTATAACTGTATTAGTTTCTTATGACTGCTGTCACAAATTACCACAAATTTGGTGGCTAAGAACAATACAGATTGATTATCTTACAGTGCTGGATGTCTATAGTCCAAAATGCATCTCACTAAGCTAAAAGCAAGGTATTGGCAGGGTTGCACTTCATTTTGGAGACTAGGAACAAAATAATCTGTTTTTTGTTCCCCCAGCTCCTAAGAGCTGCCAAATTCCTTGGCTTGTGACCACCTTCCATCCTCAAAGCCAGCAATGACTGGTCAATTCTTTTATGACTCTAATACTGATTCTTCTGCTTTCCTTTTCCTAGTTTAAGGACCCTTGTGATCACATTGGGTCCACCCAGATAATCCAGGATAATGTCCCCACTTTATGATCAGTTAATTAGCAAATCTGCTACCTTGATTTTTCTTCACCTTACAACTTAACATATTCACCAGTTTTGGAGATCAGGATGTAGACCCTCTGGCCCCCAGTGATTTGTGTCCATCCCACATGCAAGATGTATCCACCCTTTCCCAACACCTCCAAATGTCTTAATCCATCACAGCACCAACTCACCAGAATCTCAACCAAATCTTAGCAGCTCAAAAGGGCCAAATCTCATCATGTAAATCAGTATCCACAAAGGCTCCGGGTACAACCCATGCTGAGGCATAATTTTCTGTGAACCTGTGAAATTCAAGAAACAATTGTATAGTCCCAAAATATGTTATTTCATGTCCTACTTCCATTCTCCTTTGTTACTAAATGCAGCATTTTTGCCCTGACCGGTGTGCTTGGTTGGGTGTTGTCTGGCAGACTAGAAGGTTGTGGTTGGATTCCTGGTTGGGGCACATGCGTGGGTTGTGAACCAGGTCCTTGGCTGGGGGCATGCAAAAGGCAGCCCATCGATGTTTGTCTCACACATTGAAGTTTCCCTCTCTCTCTCCCTCCTTTTCCCTTTCTCTAAAATAAATAATCTTTTAAAAATATTAAAAGTAGACTTCCGGCAAGATGGAGGGATAGCTGGACCCACCATGCCTCCTCGCACAACCAAGATTAGAACAACAATAATTTACAGATAGAATATCACTCAGAACTGATAGAGGATTTATCTGAATGGAAGTTGGACAGCCAAGAAGTTGAAGTAAACCCGTACATCCAGACTGGTAGGAGACCACGAGCCGGGCAGGCGCGGGGCTGGCATGCGGAGGTCGGGGAAAATTTGGCGCGAAATCGGCGCAACAGCCATCCGGGGCGCAAGAATGCAGCGGTGATCCCTGAGTATGCAAACTGAGGCTGGCGGACCCTGTGGGGCAGCGATTGTGGACCAGGGCAGAGCTCGCAGCCCAGGATCCCAAGGAAGGGCCTGAGCCCGGGAGAAGGAAACTATGGCCATTGTTCCCTCCCGCTCCCACCCCCGCCCACACATATAACGTCACAATCTAGCGACCAGGGTGCCTAGCCTTGGTGAACACCTAAGGCTCCGCCCCCCACCGTAACTAGAGCGACCAGAGACAGGGAAAGACATAAGACATGTATCCAACAGAACAGATCAGTCCCCCAGGACTCATCCTTTTGAGCGACCAAGAAATAGCCAATCTATCAGATGCACAGTTCAAAACACTGGTGATCAGAAAGCTCATGGAATTGGTTGATTTTGGGTGCAATTTAGATGAAAGGATGCAGGTTACCATAAAAGAGATGCAGGAAGATACGCGGAGGAGAGCCAATAGTGAAAGGAAGGAATCTGAGTCTCAAAACAATACAGTGGACCAGAAGGAAGATAGAATCAACCAAGCAGGAAAGCATGATAAAATAAGAATTAAAAAAATCGAGGAAAAGCTTAAGAGCATCCAGGACACCTTTAAACGTTCCAACATCCGAATTATAGGGGTACCAGAATCAGAAGGGGAAAAGCAACAAATTGAGCACGTATTTGAACAAATAATAAAGGAGAACTTCTCCAATCTGGCAAAGGGAATAGTCTTCCAAGAAATCCAAGAAGCTCAGAGAGCCCCCAAAGAAGTTGGACCCAAGAAGAAACACACCAAGGCACATCATAATTACATTAGCCAAGGTAAAAATGAAGGAGAGAATCCTAGAAGCAGCAAGAGATAAGGGGACAGTCACCTACAAAGGAGTTCCCATCAGACTGTCAGCTGATTTCTCCAAAGAGGCCTTACAGGCAAGAAGGAGCTGGAAAGAAATATTCCAAGTCATGAAAGACAAGGACCTACATCCCAGATTGCTCTATCCAGCAAAGCTCTCATTTAGAATGGAAGGGAAGATAAAGTGCTTTTCAGATAAGGTCAAGTTAAAGGAGTTCATCATCACCAAGCCCTTATTTTATGAAATGCTAAAGGGACTTATCTAAGAAAAGAAGATAAAGAAAAGACATGTATAGTAAAAGGACAGCAAACTCACAATTATGAACAACCACACCTAAAGCAAAACCAAAAGAAACTAAGTAAACAATTAGAACAGGAACAGAACCACAGAAATGGAGGGCACATGGAGGGCTAGCAGCAGGGGGGTGTGGGAGGAGGAGAGAGGGGGAAAAGGTATAGAGAATAAGTAGCATAGAATGTAGGTTGAAAATAGATAGGGGGAGGGCAAGAATAGTACGGGAAATGTAGAAGCTAAAGAACTCATAAGAATGACACATGGACATGAACTAAAGGAGGGGAATGTGGGTGGGAGAGGGGGTACAGGGTGGAGGGGAGAGAAGGGGGGAAATGGGACAACTGTAATAGCATAATCAATAAAATACATTTAAAAATATTAAAAGTAAATGTAACATATTTACAGGTTCTGGGGATTAGGGCATGTACATCTTTGGGAGGTCATTCTGCTTACCACGAAAATGTTAGATTTCATAGAATTCACACTGCAATAAATTCCTGCCTAGCCATTAAATTGGGGAAAACATGTTCCCAGAGAAGCAATTACCTATAGTTATTATGATCTAAATACATTAACATATTTCTGTAGTATGAGGATTTTACACTGTGATTGTTAGATAGGGTTACATGGAATGCTCTTGAAATGTATAAATCAAATTATCAGTGCCAGAAAAGGACTCTTAAATATCCTTAAGGAACATGAGATTTATGCTGCTGGGAATGTTGCCAAACATATGAGGGAGGACCCAAAAAACAATCTCAGAATTTACTTAGAAAAAATTGTGTATTTTCACATTTAAACTTCAGTCACCTTCAAAATATTTTCTATTTGGTGCAATATTCATATCAAGATGTTTTCTACATTGCTCAAAACAGTTTTTGAACGTGTTGGTTTTGATGCCTTTTAGTACTGCTGCCATTTTTTGTTTCACCTCTTCTACATTGTCAAACCATTTCCCTTTGAGGACTTTTTTCATCTGAGGAAACAAAAGTTGCTTGGGGTGAGATCGAGTGAATAGGGAGGGTGGGGCATGGAAGTCATGCCATTCTTGGTGAAAACTGTTGAACACTCAGCGTGGTGTGGGCATGTGTGCTTGTAAATCACTCATCATGAAATGGGCAATGCATTGAAAGAGTCTTCAAATAAAAAAAAAAAACTTTGAAGCCAAACGCAGCCTCTCACAACACTGCCATCTGGTACACTGATACTGATGGGTTCCTAGAACACTCACTTAGTGGGGGAAGCATGTACTACAAGGGGCCTGCTCTCCAGAAGATAATTCCTTTTTGTGGGCAGTGACGGATCCCCTCTCGTATGTTTGCATCTACTATGAAATTCTATAAATTAACATTCTATTCTGAACATGGAATGCCTATACCATAATGAATCTACATACTGGCCAGTATTTTTTACAGCCAAGTCTAACTACTTCAACAGTAAATTTCAGGTATATACCCTTCACCCTTTTTTTTAGATTAAAAAAAAAGTACATATAATATATTAATAGACTATTTTCAGGCATTAGGTAATAGGGAGCCCAGGACAGCTGTCACCAAGAGAAAGGGAGTAAAAACAGTGAGCCTTTTCATTGTTCCAGCTTACTGCCTGGAAAGAGATTTCATTTTGTAGTGTAGGGAGGAGAAACCCAAACAGATCCCATCAATCTCCCTGAATTGAGATGGTGTTTAGTGTACAGAAAATGTAAGATGGCTCAAATTCATGGGGCTCATTACAGCAGAATAGAGAATGCACCCAGAGCATGAGAGCCTGAGCATTCTGCAGGGTTCCCCAAATTTTTACATGGCAGTCAGCACATATATGTGAGGAAGCTTCCTAGGCTGGAGAAAGAACTGCTAAAATGAACAGCCAGAACCATCCTTGGAGCCTGCACAAAGTTGAGAATACTTTGTGTTTTCACCAGGTGGAACTGAAACACCTAGCATTTGGAGAGTCACAGTGGGACATCAGAAGAGGATTGCCTCAGTGGGTGGTTCTAATTAGATCTTTTCTAAAGGCTGCCTATAAACCCTCTTAACAAAGCATAAATGCAAGCCACTAAAGGACTCATATCCACATAATATAACTGCTTCCAAGAACAAAGCCAATAGTATTTAAAGGAATAGAAGCATCCATGGTGTAAATTTAAGGTATACAACATGTTGATCTGACAGATGTATATATTATAGTATAGCAAGATAGGTTTAATGACATTTCACTTCTTCCCGTAATGAATAATGAAAACTACACAGAGATGTGGTCTTTTGTGACTTATGATGAAAACATATACCTACAGGTCTTTTCACATCAGTAGTAATCACAAGTTGAAAAAAACATGTCATTACAGGGATTAATGTCATTTGAGGATTTGTCTGTGGCCTTTAGCTGGGACAAGTAGTGGGCTACAAGAACCTATATTAGGAGGTGATGTTGGAGAATTATAGCAACCTGTGATCCTGATTAAAGATGATTGCCCTGTGTCATTCAGAGTGTGCACAGCCAATAAATAGCCTTTCCTTCTTCAATTGCTTTGTCCTCCAAGGAGCTCCTAGGTACTGGGCTTGAGTTTATAGGCAACAGATAATCCGTCTTCTGTTCTCAGATAGAACTCGATGTCCTCTCACCTTGGATAGGTCTTTAATCTGCCAAGGTGAAGTGTGTCAGTTTCTGAAACATCTTATGTTCTTCCAGGACACCCCCCACCAAGTCCAATGATAGTGTCCAAGTCTTTGTCATATCCCATGAACAGGCTTATCAAGCTACCAAATCAGATACGATCCTTAACTTAGAGAATGGAGAAGAGCCGTGGAGAGATGATAAAGTGCAGTGTCAGTGCTTTTCAGGGGAGTGAGCAACTGAGAACAAGCAAGACGTGAGACCCTTTAAAGTAAATCAGTTGGCCACAGAGGAGTGACCCCTTCTAAACGTGTTTAACAAGGCTAAAACTTAGAAGGTCATTAGAAATGCCTAAGTTATCGATGAGACTCTCTCTCTTTTTGGGTGGATCCAGTGTTCAGTAGAATGCTGTCTTTGCAGCATCCAGGCTTCCTCTTATTTTCGCCCCTTTCACCTAATTAAATAACAATTGTTCCTGATAATGAATTCTGGGATATTTGGCCCACTGTCCACAGGGACTTCTGTGGGCTATGTGAGGTTGTATCAAAGCAAGTTAGAAGGTGGGACTGTTGACCACAGGGGTGGTCTCTACATAGGATATTTGAGCCTTGAGAAGGATCAGTGTCTGTTGCATGCAGAATTAGAGAAGAAAGTAAGAGAGGGTACCTTAT